CATCGCACAAATAAATTCCTTCTCACTGCTTGGACTCCATAAAACCCAGAGACCACCGAGAAGCACAAAGGAAAGGAGCAAACCAGATGTCCTCCGGTGCCAAGGGGGAGCCGGTGGTGCGGCTCAGCTGTAGCTGTGCTGCCCTGGCTTTGCAAACACCTTGTGCGGGAAGGCTGCTGCAAACCAGCAGAGCACGGCCGAGTTGGGCCCCGTGAATCCCAAAGGCAAAGGCAGGAAGGACAGTACATCAACACCAGCAAGCAATGGACATGCCAGTATCAGTATGTTCTTCAATACTTTGTTTCTGCCTCTCCAGCACACTCTATTTCTTCATTTTTCACTTTGGGAGAACCCAGCTATGAACGCAGCAGAGACCGATACTTTGGCCTAATTTGCTTTGCACAGGAGGGAGCAGCAGCGCCACTTGCCCTCTCCCCTGCGTGTGACATGCTAATGCTGCAACCGCAAAGCTGCAAAACTCCTGCTGTGCTTTGCTGCCAGTACCCTTCTCCATCCACCAGCATCATAAATAATCATAGCAGCTCCTGCTGTCTGAATCGTAATTTGTATCTCGTTTCTAATTGTATTACATGTAGCTGGTCCACCAGACCCTATCTGAGGAAGCATACAAATAATTCATCTGTATTCCTCCATTCTCCCCATACGTGCTTCCAGATGAGCCAGATTAATACCAGTCTTTGTCTACTTCTAATCTCATCTCCATCCTGTATACCTAGTACCTTATTTAGCTGCATTTTCAGCTGCTATCTGAAATTAATGCTTCACCTGGCATATTCAATCTCTTCCTATATTCTAAACTCTTGATTAAATACACTTCAGAGACTGAGGATGAACTATAGGCATTTAGTCAGGTTGACTTTGAGGACTAATACTTTTGGGTCAAAAAAGATCATCAGTTTTGTCTTAGAAAAAATAACACCTGATACATTACAGCAAGCAGAAATATCTATGATGCTCTCAGTGGCACATTATATCATTGAAGCACAGCAATTTTGTGATTTTGCACGCCAGCGACAAATGAAGTTGTTTAATGAGATGTCACTTAAAACTGATTGACACCTGCAGCCAGAAACTGTGCCGAACAGCACTCCTACCCACCGGGCCACAGCGACAAGCTGCTCACATCCAGTGCCATCAGTGCCGCAGCCCCAGCCGCCACGAACCCACCCAGCTCCAGGAGGGCTCCGGTGGTGGGAATGCCGCTAGGGCTCCCATCCCCTGAGGGTCTCTCCCACTGCCACCCTACAGGCACACTAATGCATGGGTCAGGGATGGGACCAATCGCCATGGCCACCGTGCCCCCTGCCCTCACCAAGGTCTGCGTAAACTTCTCCTGGTGGAAACCAACCCCACCAGTTGCCAACCTGCTCCCTGCCCAAGCTGCCCTTCACCGCCACTGCAGGGAGGGTGATGGCTTCTCCTGGGGGCTCTCGGCCAGCACTCGCCCACGCAGACCCCTACAACCCAGCATCCCCTCCCCACACGCAACATGCTGCTCTCCATGCTCACTTACTTTTCGGCCTCAAGTAACACATCTGCTTCCCAACCTTACTAAATTCATGTCTTAATAAATGAATGAGTCCCTACTGTGCAGTTTAACAGGGAAAATACTTCTAACACCACCGATAACTCAAACTTGCCTTTGCAATCATTCATTCTTCTTCCAGTTTCCAGAGTAGGGTGGTGTGGACTGTGCAAACAGCTGTCAAATGTAACACTGCCTCCTGCTCGTGCATTGTCTGCTGAGATTTTGACTTCTGCACATTTTCCTGAAATTACTCCATGAATATTTTCTGCAAAAGCAATTTATTCCTAAACTGTTTCAAATAATCAAAGAGAGTAGAAAATCCTCATTTAAAACGTGACCTGTTTGATCAGGGGCATGTCCACACAGTACTCTCTGTTGCAGAAGAACAGCTGGTGGGGCAGCATGCGCATCACATTTCTGGCCTGGTCACTCACATCTCGGTTACTGAACTCCCATGTTCCTCAACATTATTTTTAGAAGGAAACGTTTTTTCAGGGACCTGGTGTGGAAAGCAAATGCAAGACTGCTCAGCCTGAGTCTGTGCAAAGGCAACCTGAAGGGACCGAGCCAGAAGAGTCTCAAACAGCACTCACACTTCGGACCTGGGAAATGCATCCCAGCAGTACTCACCAGCTGCCTGGGGAAACTTAGCGCCTCGTGCTTGGTGTGGCAATTTGGAGACAATTTAACAGGTACAATATAACGGAAACCTTTAGATTTTCATGCCTGCCCAGGGAGGTGAGAGGGGCTGACAAGGGAGGGCGTTTGGGTGCCTGGTGTTTGCTCCGTTCCCAAGTGCACATTCACTGTGCCCAGATGTTTTTGTCCTTCACAATGACCTTTCCCCTGCTAAGCACTGCACTTTACAAGAAGTAAATCTCAGATTTATTGAACATGTACATCATCTACTGCTGCTGCAATATGAGCCAGGGCCACCACGCTCAGTCCCACAGCAAGCGATGGAAGCAAGAAGAGATTGCTCCTGCGACCCCCCTCACCTTTTTGTTTTCTGAAGCTTCCTGAGTTAGTCCCCTGCGTGAGGCTGCTGTCTATCACTACAGGAGTGGGATGGAGGCCAAGGAGGCTACGACCTTATGTTTTAGTCTGAACAGAGAGGTGGAAGAGATGGATTATTCTACAGGAAAGCTCTCTCCGGGCATGCAATTATTTGATAACCATCTACTTTGGGAGATCAATCTTGGAAGGAGGACCATGCAAAACTGTGTTTGCACTGGGAAGCTGCATTATCCCTTTAAAAACAAGGAGTAAAATGCAAGAAAAATGATACAGAAAGCAGCAGAACAGCATGGCACTTTAACTCATGCTAAGCTCAGGAGAGGGAGGAGGAAGGGGTCAGTCCTGCTGGTCATGCTAGCATGTGAAATTTGGTAAAAACTATTCCTGCTGATTTAAGACTAATCAGGTCTGTGAACAGCTGGACTAATTCAGCCTCTTCCCGTGCCTCATGGCTGGATTCCTTCATGTACATAAGAAGCAAAACCCAAGTGAAACCTCTGCATCCACCCTTCTCTCATGGGCCCCGGTGCCTAACACACAGGTAGAGGTCACGCTGCAACCTCGTACCCCAGGGGAGGTTTTACTGGGGCCTCTTTGAGCCGCCCGTCCTGGCTTTGCTTGGGAAATCTGCAGGAACTTAACACCTTTGAGGTGGTTGTCCCTCTGCCAAGCATGACCAAAGGTGCAGTTTGGTAGGGGCCAGGCACACAAGCACATGGACAACGTACCCCTGAGCACTGGAGGAACCGGAGCAGGTCACGGCTCAGCCCTCCTCGCACGTGCTGGCTCACATGCACTTACCAGCAGTGGAAGGACTTGGCAGACACTGGTGTTATGGGACAGCCCAAACACAGTGCCTGGATGTTCTGAGAGCACCAGCACACTCAAAGGGGTTTCAGAAATGTGTAACCTAATCTGTGCCTGGGAAGGAAAACATCATCAGTCTTATCTTACAGATGAGAGAATGACACAAGGACAATAAATACTGTAAAGATGTAGGACTCAGTGGCAGAGCTGGAACGAGAACCGAGGTAGATTCACTCTTGCACTCCCTCTGGCAAATACCTCCCCATGCCAGTCCCTGAGAGCTTCTCTGATTTCTAGTTTCTAAAACACACTGTAAACAACTGCAAATACCTGTAACCCTTTCCTGACACCACTTCCCCAGAAGTGATATAGATAATATCCACCCATTCAGGTGGGACATCAGGCAAATCGTACCAGCACAGGGCCCAGAGAAGGTTGTTGTGCCACTGGAAGAAGCCAGGCATGTCATGAAACACTTGCTGAAAAGGCCAGGCAGTCAGTCCCCTGTGTGTTGTTGCTGTTGATGCTGGATATGATTTTTCCATGTGTTCTCCTTCAAGGCTGAATTTTTATTAGGCTGACTGCCACTTTATCATCCACTTCTACTCCCAGTGACTTCAAAGGGGCAGAGAGGAAGGTGACATGAACTTTTGCTGCCAGCCCTCTCTTCGTGCAGGAGGGAGGCTGGAGCTGCTCCAGCTGTGGGCGCCAGCACCAGGAGCGGTCCCAGCTGCCTAGGGCGATCAGGGTGCCCGAGGTTTTCTACTCCCTGTATTTTGGCACAGAAAGCCACGCAGCATGACCTTGGCACAGGACATGACATGAATGCTAAACAAGGCATGAAAGGTGTGTGTGTGCATGCTATGGGATTTCCATCCAGCTGCTATCTTCTGGTTCTGCAAATACTTACAGAGCAAGAGCTATGTGGTACCCCTTTCCATGTGAGCACAGAAAGCAAGTCCTTCTCTATGTAATTTTGTTAATTTGTTTATAACATCAGAGAATGAAGGAGGACTAGAGGTATTTTGCCAGCAGTTCCTGTACAGACATTAGGATAGCCTTTTAAATTGAGAAAACCAAGCTATTTCTAGGTTTAAATGAAGCACCAAGAGGCAAGCCACTCACCCTTCCTGACACAACCTCTCCCTTCTGAGAGAGGTGCTTTCTGAAGGCTGATCCTTCACAAATGGTGGTGCTAGGTTAACAGCTTCCATCCTCCCTAACTGTAAATACTGAAGGCCAAGTACTGTTTTTCATATAAACATAACCCATGATGAAATCAGGAAGGTAACCAGGAGGGCAAAACATGAACATGCACACTTACACCATTGATCTGGGCTTTCTGCCTTGCCTGAAACACAAAAGACACCCCTCTCCAGACCTCAGTGAAGGCTGAATACACACTCATAATCTAATGGAGAGATAAACAGAGGATTTAGGGCTGGATCTGAACACATATGGCAAGTTCTACTGAAATGGCATTTAAGGCATCTGAGTTACAACCTTTGCAATAATACAGGTCCTGTTAGAGCAGGACCTTCTCTCAAGCAACTTACCCACTCTAACCCACATTTATCCAAGTTTCACAGGTTACCTTCTGTATTAAATCACTTTAAAAACATGGGTCAAAGTTGTTTCATAGCTTTACTCTCTCAGTAATGTGCAACATGAACATAATAGTGTTATTGAGAAGTCAAAAATAACTTAACACAATAGCTATATAAGATTCTCCAATGGTCAAACTTTCAGCAATTATTTTTTGTTAAGTTCAGAAAATTAGCATATTTGTTAATCAAATTAATTTAAAAAGTAGCTTTTCAAAATAAAAGCAATGCTTTAAATAAATATAGTCTTTTTTATAACCATAAAACACTTAGTCCTGTTAAAGGTAACACAAATACTACACTCAAGCACAGTACGTAAACGATTGAAATGAATGTTGTGAGCGTACATGAGCTGGACACTGGGAGGGACGAGGATGCATTTCTTTGTGACATTCTCTGTTTCCTTTCTACAGCAGCACAAAGAGGCACCCAATTCTCAGAACTACCCTAAACATATGACATGTGTCAGGATATTTGCAACTGCTGCACAAAAATGCTGGTACCCTGTTTTTTTTCCCCCAAGCTATTTCTCTACACTACATCTGTAGCAGTTCTGCAGCCTTGCTTCAAATTTCTAGCACAGCATGATTCTTAACCACAACAACGTAAGGCCAGATCCTGCTTGCTTCATCCAACTGGCTTCGACATCTAAGCAGAAGGCGGTAAGCAAGATCTGACCTCTCACACCTCTTGCAGTAAAGCTCACAGTTGATGAAATCTGTAAAACCTTCCTTCCAATACTGGCACCACTAGGTGTTTCAGAATGGCCTGAAGCTCACCTTCAGAGTTCATGATCACCAAAGGATATTCACAGCTCTCCTCCTAACTACAGGGCTGACTAGCTATGTTCATTACTACATGAGTTAATGCCTATCAGCAACGACTGTAACTGTCCTGCAGATGTACAAGGTAGCAATGATTTACTGGAATGAAATAAATCAGCTAGTTCTTATGTTAGTACGTGCTAACTGGGTGTATCCTGAAGAGCTGTTTGCTAAAATTCAGTGAAATATACACCTCAAATCTAATCATAATCTATCCAGCAACTCTGACCATTTAATATCTTGTTTACTTGGTTTGAATTGTTCATTAAAAATCACGTTCAGGATCTGCAGCAAACCACTGGTTTTGCCCTCACAAAAACAGCTGTCAGTGACATTTGTTGTTGTATTTTCTTTGTTTGTTTAAACAGTGTAACAATAATGTAACCTATAAGTTAAATGATAAAAGCTGGAGAGTAAAATAAAGCACAAAACTGATACAAGTACTTTCTATTTGTTTTGATCTTCAGAATGAACAGGCCTATTCAAAGATGACAAAGGAATAAATTAGCAAATGGCTAATGTAATGCATGAAAGGGCGTCTACAGGATTTGCATGTGCGCACACACACACACATGCACTTGCATACAGACAGCTTGGCTTCATTAGAAATCTCACTACCAGAGTTTAACTTAGATAAATTAACTGCATTAAAATACTGACATTGTGAAGATTTTAATACTATCAACACCCTGCAGAGGGCATTCCTGTGTGAATTTTTAAATGCTTTAAAAAAATAGTTTAGAGTTATTGAAATCTGCGACAAATGTGACAGCTCTGCCTCCCCTCACAGCCTCCCGTTCTCATCTCCGGCATCCTTCTCCTGTATTGCCTCCAGGCACCGTTTTGACTTGGCATCCGCATGCCCACTTCCAGTTTTGCTCAGTCCACACGACAGGCACGCCAGCTGGATCTGCTTCATGTTCTCCAGGGCTTCGTTCTTGGCGTTCTTCAGGAGATCTCCTTGGCCCTGAGGATGCAGACAGACACGCAGGAGACAGTCAGGGATCGCACACATCGCTCGGGACCGAAAGCGGCAATACTGGTCTCGTGTGTCTGCCATACCGTTCGGTGCCACGGACCAGGTCCAAGGTCCTGTCTCGAATCCCCTCTGCCGCCCGTGAACGCCAGCCTCTGGGGAAGGGACTGAAGCCCCTTCTGCAGCCCGGCACCCAGCTCAGTGAGGAAGGCAGCAGCTAGCACAGTGGGACAGGCACCAGACTCCCCCCGCTTCCAAGTCACCCCCGGGAGGTAATTTGGGCCTGGCCTTCAGGAGCCCGCAGGGGAAGGCGTTTGCTCTTTCACAGTCAACAGTGAGTGCCTGCCAGGGACGAGGCAGCAATGGCACACGGTAACCCCCTCCCTGTGCCACTGCTCCGTCCTTGCGCCCTGGCATCAGATCCCACGTGGCAATGGCTGTGTGTCCCCAGCCGGGGGTCCCTTACGAGCTGTGAGACCCTGGTTACCCACCCCTCCTTGCACCTGGATTTGCTACCCAGCCTCGGCCCCCCTTTAGCAGAGGCAGGCCGAGCTGCGCGCCTGTATGAAACACAACAACCTGTAGCGCTACAGCGAATCCACCTGAACCATTTTGTTCGGGACCTTCGAGCAGGCGAACAGGAATGAGAGACTTCATGAGCAAATGCCTGCTTCTGCTTCTTCTCAGAGTGCGTAAAGGTGAGGCGACTAACAGGATGTCAGTCCAATTTGTAACTATCAGGAAAAACGTGTTACATGAAATTTGTATTAAGGAGTTGGTGTTCAGAAATGCCAAAATGAATATTTATGCAATATTGATATCTCAAGTGCTGCAAAGTGACAAGATTCTGGTGCTAGAGGATACAAATAAATAAAAGCCTGGAGATGCATCTGGTTATTAACATTCAGTATCACTAAGAACTTGAGCTGCTCTTTTCCAAATGTCACCCAAAGTACAGCTTAAAGTACACCACCCACTGCAGCTGGTTATACGCATATTCAGAAGGAATACCTCTGCTGACTGAAATGTCACATTCGCATCCCTGCAACCTAACCTGACCTCCTGCAAACCACAGATGCTTTGCGGGGTCTCTGAGGAGACAACAGATGTTACAGCAGGACCTGGGGCACACTGGAGGGGCAACTGATCACCAAACCTCCTTCGGTTTTCAGAACAAACCAGTTGTGTTGGACGAGTCACGGCACAACACCTTCCAGCAGTGGGAGCATCTCTCTGCTCTCCCTTTCCCCAGAGCTAAGCGGAAGGATTTATCCCACACCGATGAGCACAGTTCCCTTTTCACCAGTGCCTGGCACTGGACTTGCACCGCCTGAGCCCATGTAAACAATGTTCACAACGAAGAAACAATGGTGGCTTGCACGTCCCACTACACTGGTAAACACCACGTGGGAAAGCACGTCATCCAGGGACGGCAGCCCGCGCCTGAGAACGTGATTGCTTCATCTCCTGGTGACATGAATTTGTCCCTGCTGAACAATGCAAAGAGCTACCCAGATGCTGGGAATCCAACTCAGTGCGAGAATAACAAAAAATACTGGGACTGCATGAGCAGCTCTGTGCTATTTGGTATGAAGCACATTTGAAGAGATTTGTATCTCGGCAGCATGACAGTTACGGGAATAAACAGACAAGTAGCTTGGGATCCAGCAAATAGACAGGGTTTGAAAAACAAAACAAGAATAATTCACACAGCACATATTTCACATAGCTGTGATCTTGCTTTTAGGACAGAGGTTGAGCTTATGGTTAAAGACAGTAGGCAGGAATCCAGGAGCCCCGTAGATGCCTCGAGCACATGGTATGCCCCCATCTCCCTCCCTGTCTGCAAATGGCACAGGAATCATGCCGGTGCTGTAGTGACAGGGACAAGACACTGCAGCATAAGCAAAGAGATCCAACAGCAGTATCATTAATAACGTGATAATGTTATCAAAAAGGGTGGTTGATTCTTCAATACACAAATGCAATTTTCAATAGTTTGGTTTTAGGATGAAATAGACCCTGCTGCAGTGGGGCTGCTGCTGTTTCTTATCATACGCATGGGATTGAAGACACCAAAGGCTGCACCAACAAGCAGACAAAATTGGTGTGATGATGCTTTGCAGCCTTAACCTCTCTAAGTCAAAACCTGGCACTATGTATTCTTGCACAAGAACACAAAAATCCTCCTAGCACAAGAAGCAACTCGAAGCAGACAGCCCTACAGCACCAAGAACAACTAAGCCCAAAACCTGGGAGAGCCAGTGCAACAGAGAGGTAAAATGATGACGATGAAGCTCCAGCACCCTGAAACACCTGGTGTCCCCTTAGTTGGGGTGTCTGTGGCAAGACTGCTAGAAGTCTGTCCTCTGCTGTGGCATGGCCGGCATCTCCCCGGGCAGTGGGAGCACTCACCCACACCGTGCACAGAGGAGGATTTCCTGTCATGCAGCAGCACAAGACGGATACAGCTCCATAAGCTGACACAAAAAGAGCTTCAGCTGAGTCCACGTCGCCTTCTTCCTATCTCCTCTTCCTTCTCGGGGTAAGGGCAAAGCATGGAAATCCTTCTCAGGGTGGCCCACAAACTGCATCTTTGCCTAGCGACTCTGAGACACTCATTTAAGGGAAGCTACTTGGGATTTGACACACCCCCGCTCCGAGGATGACAGCCCGAGTCCGCCCTGCCGAGACTTGTATCTGAATTCCCCAGAAGCCAAGGGACTTCACACCCCGTGTGACAGTGCTGAGCCACCCGCTCTCCCTTATGCATATTCTGATTTCACATTTAACTAACCAGGCAATTTAGATTACAGATTTCGTCTGAGGCAATGCACAACATGTCTTCAGGTTCCAAGAAGAAAAACACTCCTCCTGAGCATACTTCCAATATTTTGAAGACATTCTTATTTTACAGTGATCTAAAAACAGAAATGGACTTATCAAAATAGTAAAATTCCATTCATGTACAGAGCAATTGATTTATGTCTTAGTCTCGTTGTATTTTTTATTTTGAAACAGCTGGTTCATTTGAGCAAGCTGAAGGAGCAAAAATGATTTTGAATCATCTGTCACAAGAAAATTAACGACAAACCAGACCCCTCTGACAGAGCTGTCATAATTCTAGAGGCGCCGTAAAAAAAATAATCTGTGGGCATGCTCTGTTTGAAAAGCCATCTGTCTGCTTTGAAAAACTGGCTGTGAGCATAATCCACTTACGAAAAATGTCAGCAAAATTGTGTCAACACCATAACGAACTAAATACTGGATAGAAGCTGGAGTAAACTTTAAAAGTATGATTGCATTGAAACAACCCTCATAAATCAGTCATTGTGATCATCTCCGTGCACAGAACAATCCTCTTTGCCCTTACAAACAAAGCATCTCTCTTCCAGACAAAGAGGGATCACAATGGTCCACTTCGGCATCTATCCATCTATCTCCCTTCTGCTGTTGATATCACCAACTTTCCTGAAAATAAATACTTGTGAGAAAGGTTAAACTCAGCATTTGGCAGGACACTAAATTAAGCCAGAAGAGATTAATCGAGTGTTCTACTTGAAAAACTGATCGAGGGGGCTGTTTTTATTTAGAGTTAGGGAATATTAATGTCAGGTTTCATACACCTAACTACAACTAACCGCGGAGCCTCAGCATGAATTAACATTACAGTACAAATAATGCAGCTTGTCAAGCAGCTGAAAGATTATAAGCCTTTACCTTGACAGGTTAATACTACTTAGAAAACAGGGATAATCTGACATGGCTTTAAATATTGCTCAGTTTCAGTGACAACCCATGAAAGGCTTTAAGAAGCGTAAGTAGTTCTAGACAGACACTGGCAATGGCCACAGATGGGGCGAATTCTGTATGTTGTTTTTTATAATTTAATTTTTTTTGCCAAATAAAATTCCTAAGTTTTTATGAGTCAAGATGACAGCTCATATCCAACAACAACCCAGACTCTGAGGTTGTGGAAATGAGAGAAGAAGGTGAGTTAGGTAAGTGGCACCATTTTGTGTTCGACTCCACAGTATTTTTATTTTTATTTTTTTTTACACATTGCATGTATATTTCTACATAAATATATATATATGGGCACGTGTATGTACGTTAATAATGTTAATAACTACTATTTCAATTCCTATGCTTTCTAGGAAACACCCTGCAACATGTAGGTCATGAGGCACTGCTGGTTCTGGGCACCCACCAGGACTGGGCACGCCGGCTATCGCACAGGCAGGACCCAAAGCCCCCGTGTTGGCAGCTGCCTGCACCAGCATCAGGGGGTTGCAGGAGGACCCTGAAGGCCACCACTCGGCCTGTGCAGAAGTGAACTGCGCTGCCAGGTTACCCCACACGAGCATCTTGCTTTACTACTGGCAAAGTGGAAAATCCCGTTTTAAGCAATAGGGCCTTCCCAGCATTCAAAACTGGCCATGTTTTCAGGGAGGCTGAAACAGTGGCTGCAAAGGCCATTCTGTAATCTGCTGCTTGCTAAAGCAGACGGTTGCTTATCTCCTGGCAGACACGTTCTCTGACAGCACATTATGGGAGCTTTCCTCTGCGCTCCTCAAGGGCTGAGTAAACAAACAATAAATAACAGAGGTCTTACCACCCATGCCACATCACACTCATGATATTACTGTTATTTTTTAACTTTTTCTCAAAGAAACAAGCTCTTACATTATTATTTAATCACAAAGTAAAATCTCCAGAGGCCGCCAGTGGCTGGCTGAAAATCCAGACACGGCCAAATAAAACAACCGCAAGCACTGCATCACTCCACATTTCAGAGGTAACACGCGTAAGGTAACGGCACCGATAGCCTGTGCCAAGGGACTCAGAAAGCAGAAATGCTGGAGAGCTGCTGTGATATTGGGATACTCTGTGTGGAGGCAGCATTTACCACAAGGGGTGCACTTTCGATGTGTCATAGCGTGACTTAAATTGTGTTTAATATTAATAAGGAAGCACACAATTAAATGATC